AAATCGAATTTCTATAGTTCTCTTAATTCAATGATGATTATTTGAAAACATTTCTATATTAATAAGAATGCTACATAATGCGATGGCACTCAACTATATAAACGTGCAATGGTAATAATGCAATTCAATCAAATAATTTAATATTATATTTTTTGCATTTTGTGTATTATGCTCTATAAATAATAACTGGTGATATGGAATAGCTTTTGTCTAAACTTGCCGATCAATAATCTATTAAGTGTCGTTCAAGTTTAACTCTTTCGTTTCTGAATACATATTTTTTCCTATAAATCAAGGAGAGGGCCAGCAACAGTTGTTTTTAACTGAAATTGAAGCTTTTCAGTGAAAGAAATACGATAAATACTAATAATTAGAATAAGTAGCACTAAAGCTGTCAGTTATAACAATGTTCTTTGTATGGTACAATTTTCCTTTATTTTTAACCAGTTAATTCCATTTGACGAGTATACACGTCATGTAAAAGCTTGTAATGATACTAATTCTTTTAATGATAAATTATTTATTTTTTCAGATAAAGATGTAATTCTTCTTTGCTTTGCTTTGGTTTTTCATTAAATTATACTCTTGGTGCATTCGTACGGCGTTTGACGAGTACACACTTTATTTTTAAATTTTATTGTGCGCAGAACGAGAGATTTTTCAAACTAAATTCCCCAATTAACAGGTTAAGACGTTTCCTAGCTTTCCGGTAATTTAAATATTCGTGGTATCTATATATACCATTCAGGACGAAAGGATTAAATGTATAAAATAATGTATGTTTCCTTAATAATTAATGATTTGATCAAATTTTATCAAAATACCGACGATTGGTGGTATTGTAAAATAATTTTTTAACATTAACTGTACCGACACTTTATATATGTCTATTTTTACCGAAATGAGTAGCTGGCTACAAAATAAAGGTAAACAAGTTGGACGATACAGATTTTTTAATGGAAACAGAAACAAAAGAAAAGACAAGATTGAAAAACTGATTAATCGGACAATATAGAAACTGATATAAAATTAATTGAACGAACGAAAACGCAGAATTTCAAATCAAATTTTATAACCCGTAATTTGCGGTTAGTGTTTAATGTAATTTTCATAATACGTTCTGAAATAAAAACACTGTTCAATGTGGTTGAAAGGAAAAATATGAAATTTAGGAAATTGTAAGATTTTCCTTTGATTTGAAAATTTGATAAAATTTTAGGAATAAATTAAGTACTGTTTATATATTATTTATGAAATATGAATAGGTTTTGACTTCTATTAACTTAATTATTATTTTTGTAAACGTTCGAATAATACAATTGTTGTCGTAACAGAAATCACTTCGCTATTGTCTAAGTATTTATTTAGAAAATTGTGAAAAATAAAAAATCGTTTCAAGAAAAGAAAGTGCGTTTGAAACCAGTGGACTTCTAAAATTCATTTTAGATTCGTCACTGTTCAAAAGATTGCAGATATAACAATTCTGAAAACAATTAAAATTCACTAACGCCATTTTCGAAATATTTTTGTATAAAAATCTCGTTGAACCTTGGTCTCACCCGTCTACCCACCCAACATTTACCAAAACATTTGTTTGATGTAAAACGTATTATAATCGCAAACCATTTATGACGTCATAACTTCGTTCGAAGTGCAGCGAATGCAAATGAAAAGTTATTTTTGACGATCAATAGCAAAACGTTTTATCGATTAATTGCTTTCTTTTAATTAAAGCAGGAAAAAGAATTCGCTCGTGACGCATTAGTAAGGAAAGCTAAGTTAACCCGGAATTTCGACCGGTTCACCTTTCCAACTTGACCATAATTTCTGTTTGTATTGGGATATTTGTATAGGCACGAGCCACTTGTGTGTATGCAATCAAGACTATGCGAGATCGGTGCAACATAAATATAACAGGCAGATAATGGTCGCATGAATACAAAATGACGAACGTAAAGACGCCTTTCGACGAGCTCGACCTTGACTCAAGATCGCTTTTTCTTTACGATCCGTCATCGCAAGCCATTGATGACCACATTGGACTCGCGAACGCCTCCCTCCTTTTTTTCTTAAAAACGGTTGCGCAACTAACGCTCACATACGACCATGGAGCACCTGAACTTGAATTATGTGTTCAGAAGAAGAATTTGCATCGTTACGCGATCGTGTCAGCGATATCCTAAGACCAGTTCGAAATTTCCCCGAGGAACGCAAACAAGGATCGATTGTTTTTCAACGATAGAGATGATAGTATAAACGTTATAATTCCAAGTAAATTACGTTTAGCAATTGCTCTCCTACGTCAACGGCTTTTATTCTTAACGGCAACTTGTAGACTTTGTGCTAAAATATTGTGCTAAACGGTACGTGTCCTCACAAGTCTCATTCGTTTCTGAATTGTAAGGTATTTCAAATTAAACAAAGTTGCACAATATTTTATTTCATTCTCATGTTTCATTCATATTTATAGTAGCCACATCCGTACTCTTTTAATTGTGTGAAACCGTATCGTAATTAAAATCAAACTAACGAAATGTGATAATTTACAACCGTGTTAAAAGTTCTGTAAGTGATAACACACCTGGGGAGAATTTTTTAATGAAACTATAAGTCGAAGATATAGAATAAGTTTTCTAGTAATTACTTTTCGAAACAGACAAGATAGAGAATCTCTGGAGTATATCTGTACTTGACTGATTCGAATAAACATAAGTGATATAATCAGCGGGAGATAATTCTGCGTGAAAAACTGGGTAAAGCATGTAGAATAAAATTCTTTTATTTGATCTCTCGTTTTTGAGAAAATCCAGTTTGAAAATTTCTTGAACACTCTTATATTTCGAATAATTGTTGAAAGACATATGTTCAAATTTGTTTTTTTTTCAAAAACGAGATTTCATACGCAGTAGCATTATTCTGTATCTTCTACTTATTTTCAAATGTAAATAACTTGTAGAACGCACGCATTTAATTGGTTGCACCAAGTGCACGTGTTTTTGATAAATGTTCACATTTGACTTTCATATGAACGATCTTATTTTATATGTTCAAGTTATCTTTTCGTGTAAAACCTTATCCTTCTTAATTGAACTGTCAATTATAGAGCACCCAATATAAATATGGTTACATACATTATGTTTGCAGATTTACATATGGCAACAAATTTAAAAGACATGGAATATCAAATTTGAAACAGATTGATCTGAATACAAACAATTTTCGACTACATAACGATCTTAATACTCTAAAAGCATGACACAAAGCTCTTCATACACTTCGCATTAAAATAACGTATTTTACCGTAGCAGTAAGTGCAAGCAAATTTGTTTTACTACTTTAGCAGTTTGATAACGTAATAGAAAATAATGTGAACTTTCAAGCAATTATGTCAATATAATCTATAACAACGTTAATTTTGTAACCAGACATTATTTCGTTAAGATATTGTTTAGCAAAGCTAATGAAATATTCGTATTATTATTAACTTGATATCTTCATTAACGAAATCAATTTTTATTCCTGCATAATCTTCGTAAGGCAATGTATGAGAATTGACGATTGGATACATATCATCACTCCTAATAATAAGCGCAACACATTTTCCAGTGGAAGAAGAAATTGCTTTCTGGAAATCAATAATCGCGTAATTCACCACAATTCTATTATGTCGTCTTATTGTCAGTGGATTTCGCTATATTTTATCTGTCAGTTTCTAGGTGCGTTAGACATTGCGATCGTTTCTGCTTCCAATTACGTCGCTACTTTAATTTACACGGTCTCCTACATTCAATCTCATGGAATGTTGGTTCACTGCTCTAGAAATCGCCTTATTATCAGTCGCAGTTTCACCGTTTCTCCGATTTGTACCGAAAACATAATCAAGCAGACGTAGGTAAAAAAGGATTGAAAAAAGCTTTCAGATATTGTCTCCGCGGTGCTCTCTCCAGCCTCGCGTATTCGTAATTGCACATCGAGGCCACATCGCGAATCGTCGCGGAGTGTAAGAGATTTATGTAGGTATCACTACTTTATGTGAGTATTTATATATTATTAATTATGTTCATTTTTTTATAAAGAACAGATTATGAAAATTGAAAAATTGAAAATTGAACAACGATTCGGTGTTTAATTTCCTATAGATTTCAGTAATTATTTTGGTCACCCTTTTTGTTGATGGAATTAAATTTGATCTTTGTTCGAATATTTTGTCATTTAATAATTATTTAATAATTTCCTATAATTTCTATACGTAGAAGGAAATATAAGTCGATTTATGATTAAATTAATATTGTTTTTAAATTTATCTCTAATATCTCAGCTCCCCTATTTCATCTATTTATGATTCAAAATACTGAGATTATAAGTTTCATGAAAAAACTTGTAAATGATAAGAAACAATTATTAACCTATCTAACATTGTAGTTTCAAGCTTGTTTAGGCCATTTTTGTTGAATCAACATGGCTTAACGAGAATGTTATCATGAGAAAGCCATTAAGAAAAGTAATTTAGTATATGAAACTCCTCATAGTTTATAAATTTAAGAAAGAAAGTATCAAGTGCTATTGTTAGAAACAAAAGAAGATTTATCGAATTCTATTATTTCTTATTTCAGTTTCATTGATAAACCGTGAATAGTAGAAATTCCTAATTCTAAGTACAAATAATTACGCGTAAGCAGTTCCTTCAGGAATTACTGCCAAGGGTATTATTATCGGACGCGTTTCCCAAGCGCGCACGGAGCGGTCGTGTTTATCAATGCGAATAACAAGATTTACAGAAGTTGTTCGATGTTTCAATACACTGGTCTAGATAACAAATCGTTCACCGATACGTTCGCATTAGAATAGTTCTCGTACGAGACCGGCTCTGCCGAACAGGCTTCCTCGCGATTTCGTTCGCGGGAAACGAAAGAAGCGTGTTTCACAAATGTCGTGTTATCGCATGCGAGACGAAGAAGAAAATGGAAAGCAGAAAAAATGCGTTCCGCGAGGATCCTCACCTTGTGTAACTTGAGTCGTCCGCACTTTATCCAATATGGTATCCAAAGGGAACAAAAATCGGCGAACGCAATATTTTCCGTTAAGACTCTCTTGAAGAGTCACGAAGCATCTCCACGAGCCGACGACCCGAAATCCCGTGATAGCGGCGGCGAGGACGACGACGGTGCATACACGTGACGTACATTGATATACCGGTACGTGGATCACCACCGAGAAATAGATCACGGCACGTCGTGGTGAAACGCAAACAAGGAACGGTCGGACGTGGAAGAAAACGACGGGACGAAACAGCCCGCGACGAAGAAGAAAAAATGAGCAACCGGAACAATGATCGAAGCTTGGCACTGAATCACTTCACACTGCTGAACACGTCCACATAGTCGCGGTACACGGAGAAAGGAGGAGCAGCGCTCGTAGAGCAGATTTTTCTGGGAATTTTCGGTGGCCGGTCGACGAGTCGCCTTGGTCCTTGTTCAAGGCGGATTCCGATCGGAATTCGATCGTGAGGCGAGGAATCAGTCGTTCTTCGGTGATGATTCGTCGATGGTCGCGCACGTGATCGTCGCGCGAAAGATGTGTCCCCTGACACCTGATTTATTATTTCGCAAACACGAGAGCCTTCGAATCCGAGCGATTCAGCCGTGGGAGAAAGGTGGCCGCGTGAATTACGATCGCGACGACGGCGGCGGTGGCGGAGGCGACGACGAAAAGCGACGTCGACGACGATGGAGAACTTTTTTCCAACGGGGTCTGCTCCGTTGGCTGCCCAGGGTCAACCGGCTGGCTCCGTGCGCGGCACTTTTACCCGTTGGGTACTCTCAAGGACTCGGAGGTGGCTCCTATTCCTTTCTCTTATCCTTTCGCGCGCGCGCCTTTTTTATCCCGCTAACCTTTTTAAGCGCACTTTTAATTCCGCTCGGCCGCGTGTCTCCGTGCAGCGTTCATAAGCTCGACGAGATCTTATTGTGAACGGACGCGATACATCGGCCGAAATCCTCGTATCGTCGGTCCGACCGAGGGAGTCTGGTCTCGGTTGGATGAGGCTGAGTCCGTGGATTCGAGGAGCTGACGGTGACGGAGCCGATGAAGAGAACAAGCGGATCCAGCCACATCCGGATCGTCTTTCAAACTCGTCCCACGACACTGACGACGTCCGGCGCACCGACCGATCCGCGCATTTCCTCTTTCTCCGCTGCGGCCGGTGGACTTGGCTCTTTCACGGGTCCCGGTGTCCTCCGCTTGGTCCCCTTCGGCTCACCCTCGGGACGATCCAGGAGGCTCGTGCTCGAACACCGTATCTCCACCGCG